GGTACTGACTCGATGGCACCTAACAACAACAGAGGAAACATCAACCATTCTGATACAGCTCAGTCCTGACTGCACATTCTAGCTCCATCTTCTTGATAAGTGCCAATAGCGTCCATACCATGTGATCAATGATAGACAGCAGACAACAGTAGCCAAAGTCACCCTAAAAGTAACTATACCCACAGGAGACAACTGGTGAGAACCTAAGAACAAATCAACATACAGTCATCTGTTAAATACAAACAAGACAACCCACAGTGTCCTGGATGAAACCAATAATTTTACCACTCATAAAGAAATTAGAGAATGGCTCAAACAAATGACCAAGATGCAGAACCAGAAAACATTTCTGAGGAAGAAAAGGCAATAGAGCTAACTGAAAAAGAATTCAAAAGAATATTATTTATGAGGTACCTTCAAAAGACTGACAGAAAGGTAGAGGTAAACTAGGAGAACACAGAACAAAAAAATGTTATAAGAATTCAAGAAAATACTACAAGAGCAAACAGACAAAATAAGTGCAAAATTTGAAACAATACAAAACCTGCAATTGGAAATCTAGAATGTTTATTTTAAGATTTCAGAAATGGACAATACATTGAAAGGGCAAAGGAGTAGATTTGAAGCAATGACAATCTGAATTATTGTATTTGAAGATAAATCTCCTAATACTAGTATGCTAGAAGAACAATCAGAAAAAAGAATGAAAAAAATCTGAGAAAGCGTAAGAGTTTTATATAGGACACCATGAAGAGGAACACCTTAAGAGTCATCAGAATAAAAGAACAAGAAGAGACTATCCAAAGCACAGAGAAAATTGTTGAAGAGTTATTGGAAGAAAACTTCCCTAACATCATGAAAGAGGAGAAGATAAGCATACAAGAAGCTGAATGAACTCCAAACAGGGTAGATTACAAAAGAAAATCACCACATATAGTCAAACTTTCCAAAACCAAAGATGAGGAAAGAATCTTGAGAGCAGCTTGGGAAAATGACACGTTCCCTGCAAAGGAGAACCAATAAGACTACGTGCTTATTTCTCAGCAGAAACCATGTGGGCAAGAAGGCAACGGGATTATATATATATAATCAAGAATCATATACCCAGCAAAATTGTCCTTCAAATATCATAGCAAGATTAGGCCATTTCCCGATCAACAGAAATTAAGGGAAATTGTTGTGACCAGACCAACTTTTCAAAAAACACTAAAGGGTTTCTTTAGACTGAAAAACAACAACCTGAGATTATCATACAGGACAACACCACCCAGAACTCAATCCAGATATATTATTGTTGTCGTTAAGTGCTGTCAAACTCATTGTGAGTTCGAACTACTGACTTTGCAGTTTAAACCGACCTTGAGGTCAAGTACTTGTCCTATGGTGCCACATCATTAGAAATATTTAAAGTAAAACAAACCTACAATACTTAAAAATAGGGAACCAGAGCTACTGATTCATAATGAAGTCAATTACAAAGCAAAAAGAGGGAATAGTGTAGATACAGAACTTCCAAATGGCAAGGAAGTCAAGGAGATTTCAAGATAAACCAATTTTAAAAAGGGAAAAAATAGAATAAATTACAGGATAACCTACAATTTACCCTGAAAACGAATACACCTGCACAGCAAGATTTAAAAAAAGAGGAAAATGCAAATATTTATAAACATTAAGAAATGAAAATGTAAAGAAAACTCACAAACAAAATGAACTCAGCGCAGAAAATTAATGTGGAACAAAGAAACCAGCAACACCACATACAAAACAAAACAAAAAAACCACACAGCAAATGACAGCAATCAATTCATACCTATCCACAAATACACTGACTATAAATGGATTCAATGCACTTGTCAAAAGATAGCATGGAATGTATGAGAAAACAGGATCCTTCGATGTGTAATCTACAAGAGACACATCAACAAGATGGAGATAGCCTAAATGTCCATCAACAAAAGAATGGTAAACAGACTTTGTTACAACCACACACAGAATACTATAAAACACTGAAGAATAATGATGACTCTGCAAAACACTTCACAGCGTGGATGAACCCGGAGGACATTATGCTGAGTGAAATTATTCAATCCCCAAAAGACAAATGTTGTTGAGACCAATGTTGTAAAAAGTTAAGAAATGATTTTCTTACTAAAAGAAACTATCTGATTTTTGCGGGGGACATGGGGAAATTATTTATGGACTAGAGGGTAGACACACATGTTAACATGGGTGACAGGGTGAGCAATACACAACAAGAGGGAAGTTGGCAGAAGAAGGATGAAGGTAGCGGGAGACACAGGGAGGATCAGGCAGTAGTTAAAGTGAATCGAGGTAAATGCTATTAACTGATGATACATGGAGGGGATTGCAATCATTGTAATGATGCAAAATATATGATGATCTGTTCTGTAAACCTTCACTCAATTCACAATAAAAAGTTCTGAAAACAACAACAACAAAACTCCTCTAAGACAGATGAGTTCCTTCTTTTGGCAGATCTTGGACTATTTACTGTTCTTCACCAACACAGTTGCTCAAAAGCACCAATTCTTCTCAGGTTTCCATCTTCTTTGTCTAGTTTTGTCTAGTTTATGAGGTGACTGAAAATACTGTGGCTTGGGGTCAGGTGCAGCTTAGTCTTCAATTATGACACCTTTGTTCTCGAACACTTTAAAGAGGTCTTTTGCAGCAACTTTTCCCAATGCAATATGTCATTTGACCTAAGTATTGATTGTGGATCCAAGTAAAATGAAATCTTTAACTACCTGAATATTTTCTCCATTTATCCTGATGTCATTATTGTTGTTAAGTGCCATCGAGTCAGTTCCAACTCCTAGTGACCTTGTATAGGGTTTCTGAGGCTGTACATGGTGTGATCAAGTCAATATTCAGTTCAGTACACCATGTGACAGAGTAGAACTGCCCCATAGGATTTCCTAGACTGTAATCTTTATAGGAGTTGGTTGTCAGGTTCTTTGTCCAGTAGAATCAATGGAAAAGTTTGAACCATTTGGCAGCTAAGTGCGAAACCAATTAGCCACCAGGGTCCCTGTAAAAAAGACCGCTCATTGAAACAAAATTAAATATTACCCTGAAAATCACCCACAACTTGCACCCGAAGTTTATAGTGAGGACCTAAATTGGATCATTATCCTTATAATTTACAGACCAAATTCACTCTAGTCCAAATTGCCTAGATAATTATGGGAAAGAAATCACTTTTAATCGAATGATCTAGACCAAGGGTCAGTAATCTTTTAGATGTGGGTGGCTCTGTTGCTTGCTGGTTGATATTCTGGAATGGGAGAGCTAGGGTGGGCATGGGGTCTGGGTGCAGCATGAGAGAGAAAGGTAGGAGGTGACCCAGAGAGGAGGATCAGTCTGAGCATGCTCCTGCTCTGCTTGCACAATTCGACCATTCGAACCATTTCTCATTCTGCAAGTATCCACGTGGTCTCTTGCTATAGGCCATTTGCTTACCTTCATTTATCCAATGATGATAACATATACACACATACACACACAAATGCCAAACAATAAACCCATGGCCACTGGGTCCATTCTAACTCAGAGCAACCCTGTGGGACAGAATAGAACAGCCCCATAGGGTTTCCAAGACTGTAGGAAACAGACTGTTACATCTTTCTCCCATGGAATGGCTGGTGGGGTTGAACGACTGTCCTTTCTGTTACTAACCGTTGTTCACCCAAGCTCCTTTCCAATGAGGGTGGTTGTTGTTAGGTGCCATCTCATAGAGATCCTATATAGGATTTCTGAAGCATTAAATCTTTGTGGTGTGACTGGTGGACTGAAAACCACTGCCCTTGTGGTTCACAGTCCAATGCTTTTCCTGCAGAGCTTCCGCGTTCTGTATCCCATGATAGCTCGTATTTATCGACCTCTTCCTATGGTCTAGCACTCTACACTAAGCACTTACCTGTGTGATCTCATGTAGTCTTTGCAGTCATCCCTTTTAGGTCAGCTCTGAGGGCATCAACCATCTCAATTTATAGATGAGGGAGGGGAGTGGGGGAGCACAGAAAGTGGAGTAAATTGACCCAGGGTCAGAAAGCTTATAAGGCACAGTGCTGAATCCCGAACCCTGGGCCACATGGTCTTGAGTCAAGATTTAACACTACTGCCTTCATTCTTGTTCTGTTATACGTAACAACACCAAGGTTGTCCATTCGGTGCCACCATCACCACCATTGGTATATTTCCGTCTGTTGTTGTGACTAGCTGGACCGTTTATCAGATGGAAAATTTCTCTTGTTTTTGTGACCCTCTATTTTGCTAAGCAAGGAGCTCTGGTAGTGTAGTGGTTATGAATCAGGCTGTGAACATTAAGGTCAGCAGTTCAAAACTACCAGCTGTTCCGTGGGAGAAGGATGAGGTTTTCTACTCCCGTAAAGATTTACAGCCTCGGAAACCCTGTACATGGTTGCTATGAGTCAGGACTGACTCCACAGCACATAACAATCACCACAACCACTTTGCTAAGCGGAGTCCTGGTGTGGCGCTATGTGTTTATGCGCCAGACTGCACAGCCATTTAAACTGCAAGGTCGGCGGTTCAAGCTCACTAGCTGCTACTGAGAAACGGACAATATTCTGTGACCCATAGGGTATTCATGGGCTGATTTTCAGAAGTAGATCTTCAGGCCCCTTTCTTCCTAGTCTGTCCAAGTCTGGAAGCTCTGACGAAATGTGTCTTCCATGAATGACTGCTAGTGTTTAAAATAATGATGCCATAACTTCTGGCAGCAAAGCCACACACAAGCCACCACAGTGCCACAAATGAAAGATGGAATCCAGTATGACCTTATCTTAACCAATTACCCCTGCAAAGATCGTTTCCAAAGAGTCCGGTTAGGTATCAATGGTGGGGGTCAGTGGTGGGGAGGGTGAACATCTCATATCTCTCTGTGTGGCTGTGCTAACCTCCTCCCTCTCTTTGGAGAACAGGTCAGTCCATCGTGGGCTGTAAGGCCATCCTCATCGATGAGCAGGTCTTCGTGGTGGTGGCCCAGCTCTTCGGTGGCTCTCACATTTACAGATACGATGAGAGTTGGACCAAGTTTGTCAAATTCCAAGACATAGAAGTCTCTCGCATTTCCAAGCCCAATGACATCGAGCTATTTCAGATCGATGATGAGAAGTTTTTCGTCATCGCAGACAGCTCCAAAGCTGGCTTGTCAACTGTTTACAAATGGAATAGCAAAGGGTTCTACTCCTATCAGTCTCTGCACGAGTGGTTCAGGGATACGGACGCAGAGTTTGTGGACATCGATGGGAAATCTCACCTGATCCTGTCCAGCCGCTCCCAGGTTCCCATTATCCTGCAGTGGAACAAGAGCGCTAAGAAGTTTGTTCCCCACGGCGACATCCCCAACATGGAGGATGTTCTGGCTGTGAAGAGCTTCAGGATGCAGAACAGCCTCTACCTGTCCCTCACACGCTTCATCGGGGACTCCAGGGTCATGAGGTGGAACAGTAAGCAGTTTGTGGAGGTCCAGGCGCTGCCATCCCGGGGGGCTATGACCTTGCAGCCCTTTTCCTTTAAGGATAATCACTACCTGGCCCTGGGGAGTGACTACACGTTCTCCCAGATCTATCAGTGGGATAAAGAGAAGCAGCTCTTTGTAAAGTTTAAGGAGATCTACGTGCAGGCTCCCCGCTCATTCACAGCTGTCTCCACTGACAGGAGAGATTTCTTTTTCGCCTCCAGTTTCAAAGGGAAAACAAAGATTTTTGAACATATCATTGTTGATTTAAGCTTGTGAAGCTGGGATTTCAAAGACAAGTAGCATTAGCTCTCCAAAGAGAGAGGACCACGGGTTGGGGTGGGGTAGCCATATTCAGACGCTCTGACGTTCAAAATGCACTGGGGGAATTGTTAGAAGTTTTCAAACTTGTAGAACTCACATTTTAATCAGGGATTGCATTTATTGGCTAACTGCATGACTTGTCCATTCCACCCTTTAAAATGACATCGTAAAACCTGTAATTACTGAGAAAAAGAGTACAGCATTAATGCTCACCATCTAGGAAGATAATGTGCTTTATTTCTTTTTTTCCTCTCTTTTTTAATGAGGAAGGAAAACATTGGATAAGAAAGGACCGTTCTTCTAATGAAATAGGAAACATCACAAAAACAAACAAACACACACGCAGACACCTCACAATAGCCCCCGCTCACTCCATTTTAGCCATCTTTTGGAGAAGAACGCTTATAGCCAAAGTCAGCTGAAAAGATTTGCTGATGATTCGTTTTAAAATCTTTTAACACTCAGCAATGCTATTTTGAGCCATCCCAGTTTCCTGAAAGGAATGCCCAGCCTTCTTGAATCCTCCTTGATAGCGTGAAGCTGGACGATTTCATTGACTTGTAGTGGATGGTGGTCATGAGTGGATTCACAAGGTAATATTTGCGATCTCTCTCCCTGGTGACGCAGATACAGCATGGGCTGTTGGCCCAGGAGTGAGACAAAGGAGGTTTTCCCTCTTCCTGGTGGTTCAGAGCCCACCCCTGTGTTGGCCAAAGCCATAATAATACTTGTTTGATGCCCCACTGGGCCATCTCTGCATCTCTGAAGCCATCCTATGAGTTAGTGAGTAGCTTAGCAGTCAGGCCAAAGACTGATTGGTGCTTTTCCCCCTTCCTTTCAAGAGGTGGACTAGGTATTCCCAAGTGATGCGCATTGGGTTGGATTTTTGAAGTGTGATGATGTAGAATCAAAGGGGCCCTCGTACAGGTTTCAGTTTGCATTGGCACCTAGAGGTAGCGCCTTGATTTCTGCATGACCTTTCTCTCTGGACAGATGACTATTTCAAGTCATTGCATATCAGCCCTCCTGACTACTAACCTACGTAGAGAACCATCCTGCTTGATTGATTTGCTGCTATTGCTGTTGCTAAGGTTGTCCCACAAAGATGCTGCAGGTACCAAACTTCAGAACCTGGGGAACTCCTCAGACTGTTCCTTCCTCTCCCAGCAAGTTAGCAAAGGGGAACTCCTGGGGCCCACCCACCCTTACAGGATCATGGGCTGATGTGGCAGTCACCTTGTAGAGGCTGGGGGTCTCAGAATGGTTAAGAAGGAACCAGAGAAGCTGACACTCACAGATGAGGTCTACACACCAGGGGCCAAGGAAACCTATCTTAAAATGAACTTTGTTGGTGCAGATGTTCAAGAAGTTCCTGGGTCTGATTTTATGAGGGGGTGGGGGCGTGGGTGGTGGTGGTGAGGGAGGGGCATTGGATGCTCTGCCCGGTTAGCTGGTTCTCTGTAGAGAATCTCAAGGGAACATTTTGGGGAGCAGCCCTTAAAAAGTAACCCAGCAACCTCTTCTGTATCCCTGAAGTTACAGTCATGTTATACTGTAGTATTAGCATTTTTTTTTAAACATTGTCTGCTAAGTCATGAGTAGGTAGATGTTTTGCCACAAACAGGAAGTTGTTTATTGTTCCCTGACACTCAGCATTGCAGACCCAGGCAATAAATAGCACTTAAGGGATCACTGTACCACTCTTCCATCAGCACTTTGGGGTGTATCCTGGGACTTAGGCTGAGAGTGCCCAGCCCAGGATACCAGGGGTTTTAATGAACTAACTCACCCACACGTAGTTGTTGTTGTTGTTAAGTGCCGTCACGTAGTAGTCACTGCTTAAAACTGACTTTCAATGGAGCGCCCAGGGAACACGATTTGTTTTAGTTTTTGCAACACAGATCTCTCTTTTTTCTGCATCCTTTTGCCTCTTGGGTTTGAGTGGACTACAAATGCCCACATCCCAACTCCAGAGCTGAAAGTGGGACAGCTTCTACTATTCCTCTGGCTGTAAGGACGGGTAAGCTATGCTTCCTGGCACACAGTGGAAAAACTGGCCTTTGGCAAACAACGTAGGAGACATTTAGAGAGTTCTAGTCCCTGTGCCAGGTCAGGGTGATGTTCCTGATTCTAGATGCTAGCCCAGAAGCAACTGGGGCATCTTTTCACAGTGCTGTGTCTATGGAGGAGTGTCTCAGCTTCCCAGCCTCACCTGGGAAGACTGAAGGTGAGAATCACTGTCTGAATTTGCCTCCCTGATAATCTTTGCATCCGGAATCAGGAGACCTAGGAAGCGCATGGTGCTGGGCTTGTGATGGGGCGTTTTGTGGAATTTAGTGGTAAGAGAAAAATCTAAAGCTTGGGATACACAGGAGGGTGGGAGAGTGGGTAATCCACTCCATTACAATCCCAATTTTCTCCTTTAAAAAAACCCAAAAAAACACGAGATTAGGGTTTACAACCTACAGATTCCTTGTGCTGTGGGGGGAGATATTTGTTCTGGCCAACTCTCCAAAGGCGCGGAGATGTTCTTGGCACGAGGTGGCGGAAGCTTTGCTCCATTAATCTTACTGCTCCATCTCAAGAATCCCTGAAGTTTTAAAACCATTTTCTGCAAGAAGCTTTCTTCCAGTAATAATGAGAAACAAGCTAACAACAGCAACAGCCCCCAAACCAAAGAGAAATATCTAGGACAATCCCCTGTGGAGATCACCCTTATAAGGGGGTGGGTGCTCTTCTTCATTCCTCCCCACCAGCCCTTGGGGATCATCACTTGAGTGTTTTTCCTCTTTATAATGTCTGTGGCTAGACTCCCAGATGGAATCCCTCTGCGCAGCCTTGTGGCAGAGCCACACTGCCTTAAAGTGAGGGCTTGACCCCAGACCCCATGGGGTTAGGAATAGGTGTCTTTAAAAAAAAAACAAGTAAAAAACAAACTGGGACATTGAGATGATGTACGATGGAATGAATGAAAAACTAAAGTTCCCCCATGTAAACTATCATATAATTCACAATAAAACATTAAAACAACAAACAAACTGGGAGGTCTGACTAGCACTGTGTCCTTGGGCAATGGCTAATAAGGCCACATGGCATTTAGGCAAAGATTTATATTTTTCTCGATGTACATTTATGTTCATTAATCTGTATGTAGGTTTTCTTTTATTCATTGGTAGCCTTGTCAGTTTAGGTATTCCGTTTAGGCAGGTCAGGTATGAATGATCCTAATTTCAGAGGAGGGAATAGACACAGAAAATTTCCAGTTCAAAGTTACCCAGTAGCGAGTAGCAAATCTAGAACTTTCCCCTGAACAGCCTGGCAGTCTTGTTCTATGACATTCTACTGCATTTTCCCAAAGATGGACTCAATTTTATCATAATTTGGGGGGCAGCAACACCTTGAGATGAAATTAAGAAATGAAATATGCATTGCCAGAAGGGAAATACAGCTGAATCAGATTTCCTTCAATCCATTGGTCCATTTAGTATTAACAAATATAGCGGAAACTGCTATTCCATGCAAAGTCCACTCTTGAAAGTCTTGCAGAAGTTTTCTGTTGTTCTACAGCAGGTTGTTAGTGGGCACAGTTGTTTGGAGTTATGTTTGGGATGCTAACATTGGATACATCTTTTTCTTCTCATATTGTCCATCAGACAAGAATTTTATGAGGGATAAAGAAAAAAACCCAAGTACACATCTGATGACGAATCGCTCCCAGCCATAATCAGCCGTTAGGGGAGCACACTGAAAAATGTTGCCTTTTCCTTCCCTGTGGAGTGAGAGGCTGTGTATTTTAGGAAGGATGTCAGCATGGGATGCCCAAGGGCTGGCTGCCAGGGGTATCCGGGATGGAAATTTCTTCCACCATGGGCATAATGAAGTTGAGATGCAGGTCTCCAGGAGGGAGGCATTTGCATGTTGCTTAAACACTATCTCTCTGGCAACCATCCTGCCTCCTCAATTGGAAGTATCAGTCCTTGGTTTGCTAGAAGCTTCGGAAGAGCGTTCTTTAATTAGGCAATGACAGAAGATTCTGTTATACGTTGTAATCTAGGTGTTGGTACAAGGAATCAGTTAACCATGTAGGCTTGGGAGGCAAGGTGAGTGAAGTGGATAGGAAAACAGGGCAGATAACTGCAGAGGAAGCTCTATTTGCCAGGCAGAAAGAAAGAACAATTGACAATGATTTCCTTTGCCTCAGCCAGGCGAGTAGAGGGTCAAATGATCCGGCAAATCAATAGCATCCCAAATATTTAATGATGAGAACCAATTGTAATGCTGATTAAAATATGAATTACATTGAAAGCTACTAAGATCTGAACAAAAGACACTTTTACCCATCGCTTGTGTCAGAATCAACCTTTTTCCTAGTAGGAAACTATGCATTCCCTATCCATCCCTGTGACTATCAGGAATGTATAAGAACTGTGACACAATAGGCCAATAATGCCATTTGGTACCATTTTTATGTATTTTAAATGCATAACCTAGGTAAAATAAGAGTAGTATCTATGTACGTGAAAACAAATTTTGCAGTATGCAAGCTACAATGGATGCATTTTAAGGCTGTATATATGTTTAGCTCTGATTTTCTTTTTCTTTTTTTGGTAAATAGTGTTAACAACCGGTAATGTCTCTGAATTCTCTATGTTCTGTAAGTCTATGAATAAAAAGTAGCTCATGCCCTAATATGAGTCTGATCTTTGGTCTGATTGAATGACACTTATGATGGTGAGCCGTGTTTGTTCTTCTGTCTTTTTAACTGTTAAAATGGAAAATGGCGCCTCAAGAATCTTCTGTTTTGTTTACTTAGAAACTAAAAATTCAGATTTACTGGGGAACATTACCAATATGCCTCAGCCTCATCTCTAGATCGTAATCTGGACATATCTTTGGGTATTTTATGCTACCTGACAAGAATGAGAGAGAATGATTAAGAAGACCCCGTGGAGTGG